CGTTCCGCCGGGGCGGGGGGGGATTTCAGGCACCCGCTCTCCTGCGCCAAGGCCTGACCCAGATCGGGGCGCCCAGCCCGCGCCCCCCATCACCTGCCCGCCCGCGGCCGGGCCAGGGAGGTGACAGCCAGCACAGCTCACCCTGACCGTTGCTGCTCACCCTCGTCGCCGTTCTATGCCACGAGCAGGCGAATGTAGGGCAGAGCGGGGTGTCTGGCGCCTCAGTAAGGCAGTGCCAGGGGCTCCCGCAGCACAATTAGCTTCCCCCTCCTTCCTTAATGGAGATGGGAGGAAACCTGGCACAGAAACACCATAAACCACCGCCACAGGACCAACAGCGCTCATCCTCTGATGCTTAATAGCAGGGTTTTAAAAGCTGTTTCCTTCCATTACAAGTTGTTTCTGTGATAAAATCTTTTGGAAATAAACAGAATACTATTCATTTTACACACACACACACATATGTGCACAGTCTATAGCATTTCCTTTTCATGTTGGATTTTGGTGTGTAAGAGAATGAGGCAGATTTATAATCAAACCTATTTGATGGCTCCTGTACCATCCAAAACGCAGCCCGAGGCTGCATGGCCTTGAGTCTCCTACTCCCACCAGGACAGGTGGAATTTACCTATTTTAATCACACGTTGTTTTTAGGGTAACGGCTGATTCTGCACTGAAAACTGTTTTGCCCTTTAGAAACCTGGTTTACATTAATTGCTGGTATCATCCCCTAATTACTGGGGGTATTTCATTTGGGTAAACGGTGGTTATGAGTGAATTTGTAATACATTTACATGTACTTTTCATGTAATTGGTAAAGGATGTTAGAACGCCTTTTCAAAAGACAAATCTATTAGAAAGTCGTGGTGTTGGAAAGCGTGGTACAATAGGTATAATTACATGTTGTGTTATATATAAAACACTAGATAACATCGCTTTTTGTTACATACCCAGAAGACATAAATAGCATCAATTTGTTTTCCAACTAAAGAAAAGATTTAAAAATATTTGTGCTCTATGTTTGCAATAATGTGGATTTTGAAAGCTTTGTAAGCGCTTACCCCTGCCAGGAACCCCCACGTGTAAGGTGTAGGCAGGAGGCTGATGGCTGGAGTCCCGCAGGCACCCGCGGCCCCCGGGCCAGAGAGGCCCCGAGGAAGTAAAACCTTCAGCTGGGGGTTGGGAATTTCATTTTTGGGGGGCTCCCGTGTGACCCGCAGATGAAGAAGCCCCTCAGCTCCCCTCAGCCGAGGCAAATCGTGACGGATTCTCTGTACTGCCAGAATCAGTCTGCGGCAGATGGAGCCGTGTGCTGGCGGCGCCAGGGCCCTGCGGCCGGGGGAGGCGGGGGGCACCTGCCCCTGCCAGGCCGGGGCTGAGCTCGGACCTGTCCTGGGCCGGACCCTCAGGAGAGCAAGTGATGGATTGGGAACTGCCCTTGCACCGAGAGCAGGGAATAAACCCAGCCCCTGCTTCACCTGTTCTGTACCAGGGCAGTGGGAACAGGTAATGGAAACAGCTCCAAGAGACAGAAAAATAATAAAAACATTACAATCTGTGAAGAGCCCGGCTGCTCACAAGCATTATGTCTTATTACAGCCCCCAGGTCACAGACAGGAGATCGGCTGTGGCAGTAGCAGTGACATTTAAGAAGGAAGGTTCCGAAGCGGAGAGGAACCTAGTCAAGCTGTAAATGTGGAGCTAAAGCAGAAAATGCAGAAAATGCAGAAAATGCAGGGTGACAGCCCGGCCCCAACGCGGGCTGCTCCAGGGGGAAGGGTGGCCCAAGGGCGAGAGCGCAGCCCCGGCTCTCGGGGTTGGAGGAGCTGCTTCAGCCTACGGAAACACCCTTCTCTTTCCTAAGTGACCTTTTCAGCAGCTTAGAGGAAGCACAGCTACCATTAACACTCTCAGAAACCTGTTAAATTATAAATTGACAGCCTTTAGGATTCTACAGTCTCTCCCTCAATACAATTAGCACAGGGTGGAAGGGCTGCTTTGATTTGACAGTGTGTGAATATTTGACGGTCCTCTTACCAGTTGCTAATGCACACTGGTGTCTCCATTCTGACCCTCACTTCATGGGTTTGTTGTATCCCTAAGGTGTGTTCTCATTTACAACAAGGAAACTGGCCGTTGGGACAATGTGCCTTTAGAAGCTGCCACCAACAGAACAAAATTTCCTACACCTGCCTCTGATTAGTCCCTTTGCCAGGTTGCCAAACAACTCGTCCTCAGCACAATCCCAGACCTTCTCCTCATGGTCCAGGATGTCCTGCTTATCTTCTGGGGTTCAGAGATCAAAGTTTAGCCTTGATTAATCTCTTATTGCTAATCAAAGTCATCTCGACCACGCTTCAAAGTCTCACCTGACCATGCTTCAAAGCCTTGTGATTGTCCCCATATGTGGCACAGCTGTTAACCCTGGCTACTAGCCAACGTGAAGTGTGCTGGCTCGGGCTGGCCCCGCAGGCTGGACACCACACACCCGGGACAGAACCCTGACGTTTGTGCTGCCGTGGAGCAGATGAGAGGTACATCCTGCTCCCCCGAATTCAGCAGGAAAATCCTCTTTTGGTGGAGCACGGTAACACCCAAACACTACGAACAGCAGAGCTCCGTGGAAGGTGTGGAGCACCGTCCCACGTAGATGCAACCGGCCTGGAGCGCCCCACGCGCCGACAGCCCCGGCCGGGCTCTCCGGGTCATCGTGCCTGTGGTGACACACGATACTATCGCACAGTTGTACACTTGTGCAGGCCTGTTATGTGAAATCTTTATGAATAAAGAGCCTGAATTGACAAAAAGGTTGTTCCTATCAGCACTGTGAACTAGTCACAGAAATTAAATTACATTTAATCTGGCTAATTTGCATTTATGCTCAAAATTTGATTCTCCAGATAACATTTAAGTGTTTTGTTGTCCATCTGGTTTCTATCAGAAGTGAAACGATGGGGTCCCTGACAGGAACCAAGAAAAGGTTCCAGCCAATTTATGCTAGAGTATGCTCAAAAATACATACTTTTTTCTTCGTTTGCTATTACGTTATCAGTATAACAACTCCCTGAAAGGTTTTGACTGCTGAAAGCCTTGCAAATTAATGCTATGCACAGAAAAGTCTATTTGTATTTCTATGTAGGGGGTGAGTATACAAACATATTAATTTACAAATATAATGAATTTTTTAAAAAAAGTTCACTTTATAACAGATTTCCCAGCTAATTAATTCTTCAGGCTAATACTGAGTTTGGTACGTTACAAAAATACATGTCCTTATTATTTACAGGGATTCGGGAAGAACACTTCAGACTCGGTGACAACCAAATCTGCAATGCCCGGGAGTACTTTGGAAGACGAGCGATTAAACGAATGATTCTCTTTAAAAGCAGCTCTGCGGAGCAGGCTCTGACAACGCCCGTGCCAAGCCTGTGCCCGGTTACGCTGAATGTGCGTGCGGAGGATAAGGACTCGTGCTGGTTTTCCCTACCTGCTGCGAGCGGCAGACACGAGGCAGCCGAGGCTGGGAGCTCTGGCCCGCTTGCGCGGGGCGCGCCAGGGAACGGCCCCTTCCCCTACAAGGGTCTCGGTGGGGATTTGTTCTGGACTTGGGGCTCTGCTGGGAGCCCGCCTACAGTTTTCTTCCTGAGAAAGGTGTGGGGTGGAACCCCTGAGGTCTTGGGCAGGGGGGGCAGACGTTACACGGAATTGCTGCTGCCGCGCACAAGTCTACCAGATGTTTACGCGCCGGGAGAGCTCTTTGCTCCATCTCAGGGGTACGAGAGCAGCCGTAGGAACGACGCTGCGCACAGACACCCCGACCACCGAACAGCTGCGCGGGCTGCTTGATCACGAGATCAGGGACATTGTCCCGGGCACTGCCCTCCTTAACCTGTCCAGGAAGCACAAGGAAAAGCCACTGCTGTAGAAAAAAGATGCTCTACTCGGAAGGAAAACCTCAGCAGGTCTGCTTCGAGTTGTTTCCCTGTGGGAGTTAGTAAACCAGCAGAAAGCAGCCTCTTCATAATCTGAGAGCTCTCCATGATGGAAGAGCTTTCCCAGGCGGGCCTCAGAGCGCCGCAGTGCTGAAGCCATCCGTAAGCACCAGCGACAACAGTGCTCCTGCCCCAGGACCTCGTCTCATCTCATCTGTAAATTCAGACTGACGTTGTCATTTCTGTGCATTTCAGTTTGTAACAACCCCTGAAACATTAAAGCAGAAATACTGTGTAACGAGACAGCCCATGCTTTTATATAAATTGACGATTATTAATCTGCTGGAAATCACTTTATTATCACTGAACCAAATTCTGCTCCTTACCAAGATCAAGAAAACTACACAAGATTTTACAGCGCAGTAAAAATGAGCAGCCTTTGAATCCTTTCCTCTACATCCTCCCAGAAATGCCGTCTGCTCAGTGGGAGTCTTCCCATGCCTTGAATTTCCCCTACACAGTTCACTTCAAACAAAGACGTTTTGGGTCATCCTGCACAACACTTGCCAATTAGCATTCTAATAATGTAGCTCATTAGCCCTATCTCTGTACCCCTGTGAAGAAAGCCATTCACAACCCCTTTCAGAATGCATGAATATATATATCGAGAGAAGGCAGCTGATAGAACGTTACAGGAAAATTTAAGCTCCAGTAGCTCATCATCTCCCCTGTGGATCATTTCTGGAAAAACACGCTGCTGACCTTAAAAAAACCCCAACCTCTTCTGACAATGAAAGCACACCAACGAAACAGAACAATTTGATCATGGAATCAATATACAGAGTAATTAAAAAAAAAGTAATTATCTACAAACCCTACGGGTTCAGTGGACAGGTCCGGCCCTGGTGTAGAAGGGGGTGACCCCCCCGGGGGCTCTGTAGGCATTTGCCAGGGGAAATGCCACCTGCCCTCCTGCTCACGCGTTCCATCCACAGAGAAATAGAGAGATCAAATTCCGAACACTTGAAATTGGTGTTTCTAATTGCTGCCTACAGTAAGAAATAGGTTGTATATTCTTAATTAAAAATGTCAGTGTCGCTTCTAAACAGAATTTATACTGCTGTACGAAAGAGCAGGGCTGGAGGATCTGCAGACAGAGGGGCTGCTTCTGAGCTCCTTGGCCACGAGGAGCCTGAGGCTGGTCAACATCCCTGAGAGCTCTGGGGGAGAGGCACCTCCCCGTGCTCCTGCAGCCTCTCTCTGTCCTTCTACACTGAAAACACTTAAAGAATTTTCTTTTAATATTAATATTTTAAATGTTTTGATTAAGATTGCAGTTGCAGTACTATCTTCTATTACCAGTAGGAAACTTTTCCAGTCAGAAAGCAAACTGCATCACCAGAGGGGTGTGATCCTTCTTCACGGAGGGAATATCAGTTTGTAAGGGTGAGCACGGGGCCTCTTCTGTCGTTCCAATGTCATCTGTGTCAGTCCTCAGTTTAACGTGGGGTAACACCCCGTGTGTATTTATCAGGAGGAGTTTGGTTACAAAAGCTATTGTGTGGTGGTGATGGGCAACAACTGCTTTTGCTCAGACTCACGCGCTTACGGACCCCTTCAAGGACCTGTCTCCAACTCCCCATTTTACACACGTGCACGCACACACACATTATGTTTGGGAAAACTTTTTAGCTATAAAGGGAATAATCGCATCGATACACTAGAGACCACAACCTGAGGAAACCGGCGGCGGTGGCGTGGCCCCAAAGGCTGGGCAATTTTCTGATTTTACACTTAAGGGAGATCAATGTTTTGTGTTAAAAACACATTCTTAATGAAAAAAACATTTACTTGAAATCTAACTTTCTGCTGAGAAGTTCTTTCAACAGACAGTTCAGAAAGCCTTAATTACAATCCAAAGCATTTTTATTTCCCTCCTTTTACTGCATTAAGGTTCTTTTTTAGGTCACTAAATGCGTAGATCTCATTGATCTTACCGCCCAGGAAACGCCAGCCCCCTGGGGACAGGCACGAATGATTTGGACCACTCTCCGAAAACTAGCAGAGCTGAGATGTACAGCTGCATGTTTTCAGGAGGAGTGTGCACCATCGAATCTAACCCTGAGCGCAGATCACCTCAGCGAGCACCACGTCAGACAAATGATTTCTAAGACTTCCTGCGTGCATCCCTCTGTCCCCAGACATCCTGTGTCCGGTTGCTTTGAGGAGCAGTAATCTCCTCTAGAGCAGCAAATCAATAACCTCCAGCCAAGCACCTTAAGATCTGAAGGATGTTCAAACTCAGATTTGATAGATGTTCTGCTTAGAAAAAATATTTGGGAAAAAAAAACCCCAAAAACTGACGGGATGAAGTACAGCAAGACAATTCCTCCTTTAAAGCAGAAACACGTCCTGTGAGAGGTATTAGCCGTGAGAGGCCTGACCAGTCACAGACACCGTAACAGGTGCTGGGACAGCCCCAGCAGAAGTGAAGCGGCCTCCAGGCAACACTGAAGTGCTCCGATTTGCCTGCTGAGTTATGCCAAGCATCATCTACAGGAGTGACTCAGTTCTATTCCAGGGGGTTGGTTTTTTTAAATTTTAGTATTTTCCCTCATTTTGGCCGAGATAAATTTGTCCAGCAAGCACTGGCCTTTCTAGGCACACCAGGCTCCCCCAGGCTGGGGTAGCAGTGGTCTCACCAGCTCTCTCACTGGGTTCCAGTCCCCCATTGAACATTCCCGTATTCTTCAATATTCTAAAAAAAGGCAACTTCAGATAGTGTTGGGGTGACTGCTGCTGCTGTCCCCATCATGTTTACCAGCCAAGCAACTCATGACTAGCATAAATTTTTTAAAAAGTGAAACTGTGAATTAAAATACTTTTCTGAATGTTATTTTTTCAATCCAAAGTGAAAAATATTTTCACCTACTGCATTTAAAATATGTATTTTTAAAAAGCAGCGTGATCACTTGCTGTTCATACAAATTTGGCAGTGTATTTCATTACCTGCCTTGTAATTTTTTAAGAGTGACCATCAAGTCAGAATCTGTGATTATATCACACCAAAATTCAATACCAAAGTTACTGAAGTGAAACAGTGATAAATAATGTTTACATCAAGACTTTGGTAACTTCAGAGTTTTCTCTGTGTTACGATCTGAAGTATTTTAACCTCAGCAAGAGAAACTAACGGCCGTGTAAAGGAGGTTCTGGGGTGTACATGATCTACAGTAAGCAGGTTTCCAGTTATCAGCCCATCTTACCTGCCAGGAGCTCCGGCGCTGCCTCCGCACTCCCAGGGGCCGGGCAGTTCCTCGCGGCGCCCGTTCCGGGGGTGCTGCTCCTGGGCCTTCCCGGGCAGCCCGGCTCTGGGGCGCCCGCGGCTCCCCTGCGCCCAGTGGCACTCGGGGATTTCTTCCGGGCTTCCCCTCCTCCCCCCGTTTTTCTAGAGGCCCCATCTGCCTTGCTGGGCGCGGGCTCTGCGGGACTGGTGCCTCGTGGTGACAAGATCTTCTGTCCCCTCTCGCTGCCTCCCCCAGCCCCGAGCGTGCGGATCAGGGATGATCTGTTTTACTCGTTTCCAGGTCGAACTTTTTGCTGGGACAATGGTAAGCCTTTCGTCAGCATCCAGGGACAGCAAATTATAAATTATTGTGCCATTTTTCTCATCAGGCCATGGTCTACTGAAAACTCTCCCAAAAATGACAACTTGATCTGTAGAACACAGCTTCACGTTCTTCCCTAAAACTGGGCTTGTGGGATATTCAACCATCGGACGTACCCTGCGTGACGAAGAAACACCTTGGGACAAAACACTTCATTTTCATTCACATTTATCTTTTCAGGAGTTACTCCTCTGGAACTCTTCCTAAAATCTTCTTTCCAGACAGATTTTTAAATAACTATGAATAACAAATATAAATGCGTGACATATAAAACAGGACACGGTCACTTCTACAGAGAAGCAATGTACTACCTGCTTAGCAGGGAACCAAAATATATTCAGTTTATCTGAATTAGTATACCGCTCCTTACGTAAAGCTGAGAGCTATTTCAAGCAGCAGAGCCAGGACTTCCACTGAAGGTTAGTTCAAGCAGCAGAGCCAGGACTCCAAGGAGGAGCCTGTGGCTGGAGGAGAGGGAGGGGGTTTTTGGATTTCTTCTTTGTCGGCTTACTTGTAGCTTTTCAAAACACTCAGTCAGAGATTTCAGTGGTGCAGACGTCACCTGTGCAGAAATTTCCACGTACCCTAGTTCAGCTTCAGTCAGAAAGGGACAGAAAGATTGCACCTTCCATCGCCAGTAGCAAAATATGAGAGATATCTGGGGGTTTTGAAACGGCAATGTCTCTTTTTCTGTCTTGGTAATCAATGCTGTCTTCCTGTTGATAACAGTAGAAGCAATTGGAGCTTCCTCAGTAAGCTGAAACAAGAAAATATATAAAGACAAGGATCAAAGAAAATGGTATCTGGGCAAAAATAACACACATGGAATTTCTGTAAGGGTGATATTTATATCTTCATTTGAATTGTACAACTGATAAAAAAGGATTAATGTTATATTCTTTTGTCACTGATGCCCGACAGGAATGTTCCCCTCAATGCCATCCATGACATGGGAATTTCTGCCATCTCTGGAAGCACACACAGATTGGCAGTTTATCTCCTATTTGCGTGGCAGAAGGGGGGATTTAGGCAATATCCAGGGCCCTCTGGCATGATGCTTGGAGAAATACGCATTTCTAAATGACACGTTCCTCCCCAAACCACTCTGGTTGCTTAGCCTGGAGGCAGGACAAGCTGACACAAGAGGTTCAGCCCGGCTGCGAGCGTGTCAGAGACCAGAGCCCAGCCAGCAGATTTCCAGGGATCTCCAGCAGGGATCAGCTGGAGCATCCGCCCATGTAGTCAGAGGAATAAGCACAGACTGGGCCTTTACCCTGTTCACTGGAAGTTTTACTTTTAAGCCTGCTGTGTTCTTCCCTTTCCTTGCCCTTCCCTCCAAAGGAGGAAATTCTGTTTGAGAAGCTTTTAGACTGCTGGTGCCTAGGTTCTATGTTTTTTTTAAAGGCTTTAGAGATTTCCATTTTGGGGTCATCTGAGGTGCCCAGGAGACCTCCCCAGTACTGCTGAAGCATCCTGAGTAGCAAGGGGAAGGCTCTGACCCTTTACAAGAGCAGAGGTCACCAGGGGCTTACCTTCTGCACGTGGCCTGAAGGACTATGACCAAAGAATGAAAGCTAAAGAGAAAAATAAAAACAAAAATAAAAACTGAAAAGGGGAGGGAAGAGAGGAAAAAATGGAAGAGAAGAAAGAGAATCAGAGTTTACAGTGTGTTTAGCTGAGAAATAAGCTGTGGTTACAGAGTGCAACAAAACTCTTAGTTGAAAAGAAATATAAAGTGTGAAGTAGGTTCCGAGGGCTCGGCTCAGCCCGAGCCCCCGTGTCCCTCAGACAGTCATCTCCTGCCCCAGCGGAGCCCAGCCCAGCCCCAGCCAAGGCCTCAGGAAAAACGGGGAGGAGAAAATCAGCCAAATTCTTCTGATACCTCAAAAACCCCCCAAACCAACACTGCTAAGGTTTGGGTTTAGTTTCAGGTGAAAAGTCCAGCTCAGCCCCTGTTGTACCTGAACAAGTTCTCCCATGGCAATTTCACTAGAAATAGGTGGTCTCAGATGAGGGTAACTTTAGGGTAAAATTGAACAGTTACGGCTGGGCTGGAGGAAGCTGGATGACATCAGCCACGTGCGCTATTGGCACGTGCAAGTGCTGGAGACGGGAGGGAGAAAAGACCCCGAGCTCCTTCCCCAGAGCAGGTGCTGAGCTCTGCCCTCGGCTCTGCACCGCTCCCTTCCCAGGGCAGACGGACCCCCCGGCCCTGCCCAGTCCTGTGTTTCGGACTTTACTGAAGGACAACAGAAGGAAAGACTCAGTGTAAGCTGGTAACCTTTCCTTCTCAGAGGGACTAATGCCAATGGAAAATGGGTTTCCTGGAGCACTCTCACGTTAGCTCACTGCACTAACAAACACAAACTTCCTATAAGTTTGTTTTCTTAGCCAAGGTGAAATGAATATATGGTCATGTGCACATACAGTAACTTTCATCTGCATTACCTTACCTTTTCCTCTAACTCTTTTATTTGTCTTTTTTGGCCTTCAATTCTTTCTTCTAGCTCTTTAATTCTCTGTCAGATGTCAAATAAAAAAATATTTATTAACCAACCAAATACAGATGTACCCAGAAGACGCATTATTTTTGGAGATATAAATTGTATGTGCTGTGCTTCTAAAAAAAATTGGGTTTTAAGCTGTAGGTGAGCCCTCTGTGAATGTCACTATGCACGACAAATTAATGAAAATCAAGATGCTCTGTTTGCAAGGATTATCCAAGGCACATCCAAGCCTGGCCCCAGGAGCAGCCGTTTGTGGTAGAGCTCTATGAGGAGAGGCTGGTGCTCACAGGTCGGGGGCCGTCCCGCCCGGATCCCACCGTGCCCAGCAGCGGCGCCTACCTGCTGCGCGTGCTGAACGAGCTCCATCCTTTCCCGCAGGATTTGGGCGTCCCTCTCCCGGAGCTCGCTCATGACCTGCCGCTTCCATTGCTCTACGGCGCTCTTCAGTTTCTCTTTCTCCTCTTCTGAAAGAAGTTCGGAAATTTTGGCTCCAGCTTCTTGCTGCAGGGCATCATAGAGCATGGCTTCTAATTCCAGAATTTGCTAATCAAAAACAATATAAGGCTGTCAGCTTGACCTTGTCTCTGGTCGGATGAGGATTTTGTGAGGAACTGAAAACCCTACCCTGGTCAGGCAAGGGGAGTGGAGGAGGGGCTGTGTGCTGAGCCTCCCACCCAGGACTGTGCAGAAAACTCAGTCCTGGGGGGAAATACTTCAGGCTGCTTTTATGCTGTGGGGTTCTGAGCCGCACTGGCACCAGGACGGCCCCTTGCTCAGCCTAACCTGCCTCAAAAAGTATGTGGGTGTCAACTGCTCCCTTCTGGAGGTGGGGAGATGGCCGTGGGGAGAAAAGGCAGAAAAAAAGGACTCCTTTTGTGAGTGACGTGGTTTTTTAAATTCAGTGTTCAGTCTCTCGGTTCACCTTTCCCAGCTATTGGCAGCAGCAGAGGATAGGGCACCAGTCCATCCTCCTCCAGAGAGGAACGACTCCCTGCTGCGTGCTTACACCACTTTGTACCAACGAGCTTCAACGTGTGAAGGCGTTTCCAGCACCTCCTCTGGCAGAGCTGCCAGCTCCAGGAGGCTTTATGCTCAGGTGAAACACATGTGGTAGCTGGCCTCTGTTCCTGCAAGTCTCAGGCTGCAAAGCCTTTACTGTACTGCCTCAGAAAATGTCTCTCACACACAGGTGGGTGCAGCCTCCAGGTTTACTGAGATGTAGAAGTGTGTAGGAAATGGACTGGCAAGGCTTCTGCAGGGGCACCGAGGGCAGAACCCTCCCAGGGCAGGGGACCTTGCCGGACAGTGCCTTCTGCTTCAACCCCCAAGACAAACGCTGTTCCTCATGCAAGCCAAAAGCTTTTTTCAGCAAGTCTGATACAGAGCAAGAGACAAAGCAGCAACTGATGGCACCTTTGCACACCCTCTCCAAAGCTGGTGGCATCTGGCAGAGCTCTCCGTGGCCTCGGGAGAATGTGGCTGCACTAGTGCAGCTTGAACCTCTAGACATCTGTCTGAAAAAGCCACAGATGCCTGTCATGATAATCCAGCACAATTCAACAAGTTTTTACACCCGAGGCTCCTGGTGGTGTTTTCTTACAATGGTTTAGCAGAGCCAGGAGAGAAGAGTACAAGCACTCACAAGAATAACACCCTGGCAGGAGTTAGGGGTAGTGATGGTGACTGAAAGACAGTAACGGTGGTGTCTCTGCACGGAAGATCAGATCGGATCTCAGAAGAAAATTCTGCTTTCCCTTTTAAAAATAACGCCAAGGTCCTTGCTAACTGTAACTTCAAATAACGCTGTTATTTGAAACACAGATTTCTGCTGGGCCCCAAACCTCAGTGATACAACCGCTGTCCCTCTCCAGTTATACTGGCTTGTCAAGAAGGAAGAGAGTGGGGAAATCCATGGTCTCCAGAGCAGCAGCGGTGTCAGGAGTCTCTGCACCAGCCAAGTGCTTCTCGGAGCAAAATCCCCCGCCAGCAACCAAAGGGAGTGAAAACCCTGCAGAAAGCTCAGCAGTTACAGCTGTTAATCTTGTTGGCTGCAGTTAGTGAGGGAAGATTAGCAGCTCCTCATCTCAAGGGCATAAAGGAAACAAATCATACAACGCAGAAGAGCCGTTGCCACTTGCATTTTGGGGCAGAACGAAGCTTTCTTGCCGTTTTCAGGTTGCACTTGTGCCCAGGAGTAGAGCCCACCCCTTTGCCTGGGGACACTTGCATGATGCCTTTAAATACAGGAAAATGCCAATAACCCTCAGCGAGCCCTGCACGGGCGGAGCAGTGTGTGATACTGGTTCCCTCTCCGCAAGCGGCAGAGCCAAGGAGCAGCGAGTTTTTCCTGGATCCTGCAGTAAATCTGGGACCCTGGAGCTGCCTGTGTGAGGGAGTGTGAGCCAATAAGGGCAAATGCCGGGGGCTGCCCTTGGGCCACAACCACCCCATGGGGGCTACAGGCCTGGGGAGGAGTGGCTGGAGAGCTGCCGGTCAGAGAGGGACTGGGGGGTGAGAATGAGCCAGAGTGTGCCCAGGGGGCCAAGGAGGGCAACGGCATCCTGGCTGGTGTCAGCACTGGCGTGGCCAGCAGGGACAGGGAAGGGATCTGAGCCCTGGGCTCGGCGCTGGGGAGGCCGCCCCTCGATTCCTGGGTTCAGCTTTGGGCCCCTCACCCCAAAAAGGCCATTGAGTGACTCGAGCGTGGCCAGAGAAGGGCAACGGAGCTGGGGCAGGGTCTGGAGCACAGGTCTGCTGGGGAGCGGCTGGGGGAACTGGGGGGTTCAGTCTGGAGCAGAGGAGGCTGAGGGGAGACCTCCTGGCCCTCGGCAACTCCCTGCCAGGAGGGGGCAGAGAGGGGGGATGAGTCTCTGGAGCCAAGGCCCCAGCGCCAGGCCCCGAGGGAATGGCCTCAAGCTGCCCAGGGCAGGGTCAGGCTGGCTCTGAGGAAGGATTTCTGTGCAGAAGGGGCTGTTGGGCGTTGGAATGGGCTGCCCAGGGCAGGGGGGAGTCCCCGGGATCCCTGGAGGGGTTGAAGAGTCGGGCTGAGCCAGCGCTGAGGGATCTGGGGGAGTTGGGAACGGTCAGGGGGAGGGTCATGGTTGGGCTGGAGGAGCTCCAAGGGCTTTTCCAAGCCAGACGATTCTGGGATTCTGACACAGGGCTGCCAAGTAACCCAGCGCTGCGCCATGGCCCCGCAGACGAGCCCTCCTGCCCACACCAGCATGCTATCGGGACTTTCAAGCGATGCCATACGACTTCTCCCACTCTGCTGCTGTTGCGCAAGTTTCCGCATGCTCCGATTTATGGATGTGTTTCAGAACTCGCCCAGGACACAGGGGATCACCTCCCTCAGGGCTTATCTTTGAAAAATGAGTCCTACAGGCTCAGCCTTTGGCTGCACCAAACCGCTTCTCAGAACAGCTGGAGGCTGCGGGAGATAATCTGGCTCCAGGGCTGAGACTGCAGGCAAGGGGGCTTGTGTACTCCTGGGGTTTCCACTGTGCATGGGCATTGTTCCAGATACAGCTCAGCATCTGGCAAAACTGGTCTTAAGAATCATCCTTACAGGAACAGAAAGTGTGCTGAGTGAAAGCTCCCCCAAATGGTTTGAGATACAAATAGATAAAAGATATCCAGAAAAAGAGACAGGAATACTCATTGTTTCTCAGAAAGCGTAACTGTGCTCAAGATTTAACTGGAACTGAAAGAATAAATTGATATGAAAAATGATGCCTTTATGTCTTTCATGAGGATGTACTGAACTTCTCTCTAACTGAAGGAAACAAGAGGCTGATGACTGACGAGATGGTTGAAATGGCTTAGGATCAGCTAATGATGAACCTGACCTAAAAGCAGCTTTGTTTCAAATCCACAGAATCACCTAACGCCTCCAGCTGGTTTGCTTACAGAGGCTGTAATCTAAGATCTAAGGAAATGTCTAGGCTAGAATCTCTCTTTTGGAAGGAAAAGAGAAGTTAGTAATTTTCTTATTGATTTCTTCGTTTACTGAAACCTCTGCTAAATAATAAGTAAATATTCAGGTCCTGATCTTGCAAGGACTACCCAAACACAAGGAACTCTGAACTCATCATCAGTGCAGGGCACAGGGGAGTTGGCTAGAATTCAGCCTCGTTAGTCCTGGGGTCACACCACGAGCAGGACAGCCCGCAGCAGGGGGCTTTTCTAAGAGGACAGACCACCCATATCACACGAGAAAGTTAATCTGGATGTCAGAGTTCAGTCAAGACCAATTCTCCTCACCTTGTGAGCCTGGTCCAAGGACTGTTTCCTGAAGTCGAGCTCATCGTCCAGGTAGCCCTTCTGCTTGCTGAAGAGCTCCTGGGACACAAGGCAGAGGCGTTAGTGCCAAGGTCGCAGTGCCAGGGCCCTCCCCGCCGCCTTGCTGCCCCGTCCCTGGGTACCTTTTCATTCTCCAGGTCCAGCATCTTCTGCTGCAGCGCAGACTCCGTCACTTCGATCTGCTGTAGCCACTGCGCACGGAAAGGGAGAGGGGGGCTTCAGCCCAGAGGCAGCACGGCTGCGGCTGCCCCTGGGACCCCAGGGTGCACCAGCACACACTGCGGGTGCTGAGTTAAATTCTCTACACAACCGGGGAAAAATTACCTACATCATTACATTTTTTTCTTTTATATATACTGTCGATGGAAAAAAGCTTTACTTCAACCCCAGCCATTTACCTTCTAACATCGCTTTGCCAATTAAGTAACACTTGGAAATAAGCAATGTCTGTCTCTATTGCCTGGATGTCACCTGTATTTTGATGAAAACTAGCCCAAGTGTACGGCCACATAAAGAACCAAGGCACTCTGTGATGGAGCCATCATTCACATCACCAGTGCCCTCAAGTGGGCTGTTCTGAGGGGTCAGGTGCTTTCACACACGTTCACTGAGGAGTGATGCAGTTGTTATTACCTTTTCAGCCAACGTGAGGACTGTCCTTGCTTGTATGACAACTACTTGCTCTTCGTTGGTCAGATTCTGCACCAAAAGCAGAACAGAATTACAACAAATCCCAGTGCCTTGCTATTAATCCACTACTGGGGCCACTGCTGTATTAAATTAATATGAAATTAAATATGTTCGAGGAACAATGAACTAAGGCAAAGAAAACCAGTATTGTAATGCAACATTGTTGTGAAAACAGTTGTAACTATTCATGCTGAATTCTTATCATACATATAATTAATTTTTCTAAAATTCCCATATTTACCAGAAAAAAGGTGACACTGGATCTATTTTTACCCAACAAGGAATACACACACAGTTAGACAAGACAAGATCAAGCTTAGCATGATGTGCCACTGAGAAAAGAGAAGTGGTCTTAAGTCCCTCAGTTCACCATCAGCACGGTGGGTTAATACACAGTCCCTGATCTTGCACAGCCAAGCCATGATTTTGGAAAACATTTAAGACATTAGCTATTCAATCCATGTTTTGTTGCTTTTCTAAAAAGCTGAGGTACTGGAGCTATGTTTTGCATTTCACCCCACTTTGCTCTTCCTCTGACCGCATGTGGAGCAGGAGAGGTGAATCCTCCCAGGCTGGGCCCCGCACCGGCTGGGGCGCAGAGCGCCAGCAGGGCCACCACGCTGAACTGGGGTTTACCCCGCGTGGCTGGGCACAGGGAGCGTGCTGGCCGGCCGGGGCGGGAGCAGGCTTCTCCCGAGGACCCTCAAAATTATCTCTTCCGTAACCGTAAGTAATTTTTTTTTAAAACAAATTACGTTACAATAAAAATGCAACTGTCCACACAGCATAGGAATGGTGTGCTTTGCTGTTGGGAGAGCAGTCCCCTGCCCCGACCCTGCTGCCTGTGAGGCTGTGTGCCTCAGCCCCGCTCTGTGCCTCTCCCCAGGCGCCCCATACTCCACAAGGGATGTACTGCACCCCCCCGACCTCCTGCTCCGCTCCCGAGGGCTCTCTCAAGGCTTTGCCTTACTCAAAGCAGTATTTAACTCAGCGGGAAGCAGCTAGAAGCTGTCGGGGGAGCTTTACAGAAACCCAAGTGGAAAAATGCACAGAAAAGGATGGAATCCTTAAGAGATGGGTTGACCCAATGCTGAGGGACCTGGTGCAGTTGGGAATGGTCAGGGTGAGGTTCATGGTTGGGCTGAAGGAGCGCCAAGGGCTTTTCCAACCCGGATGGTTCTGGGATTCTGTGAATCACTCGCACACAGGCAGGACACAGGTTCACTTTCCCAGACTCCCTCACAGCCAGATGTGACAACGTGCAGCCATGGGGCAGGTCTGCCACCGGTGGCTGAGTCTGCGATGTCAAACAAGGGAAAACAGAGAAAAAAAAGGTGGTAACAACAGTCTACTGTTAGCTCAAAACTATCTGAGTTGAGAACTGGGAACTTCCCTTGTGTCACATCTGGAAGTTAGCTGTTTTATGTAATAGGGAAAACAAATCAGAAGGAAAAAACACTACAGACTAGGGATCATTAATATCAATAAAGAAGACAAGAGAAAACAAAAGGGAATAGAAAACAAGAGAAAAGATCACTTTTTCTGTTCCTGTTTGTGCCCAAGTTGCCTGTTCAGGACACTGTTCCAAATGACTCTGCACATAACTAACCTGACATTAATAATTCCACGGAAGACGTTAGTACAGGGATTCATAGAGAGATGGGCATTAGCTCTCGGCACATCAGCAGGATCAGTCTTAGCTCATCAGTGATTAAACTTGTATTTTTTTTTTAATCTTTGCACACACAAGATTTTAGGACTCTTCCTATTTCTGCCAGTGTGAAAATCATTAACTGCAGGGTTAACGATCCTGGTCCCGGTCCAGGGGCACAGGGAGAGCTCAGGGGATGGGGGGGCCCTTCTGCAGAGCCGGTGTCAGTGGGGGGGTCTCCCAGGGAAGAACCCTGCTGTGAGCAAGGGCTCTGCGAGAGCCTGGGCTAGAGAGGGGCTCTGCTCCCTCTGCCCCTCACAGCACGGGGGCTCGGGGGCTCTGCTGACAGGGGAGGGGACAGGGAGAAGAGACAAGGGCATGTATCTCTTCTCTATACATAACTGTATGTGGAATGATTCACTTCCATTTGCTAAAGGAGAAATACTTTCAAATTTCTTATTATTTGTTTCTTCTTTTCATGCTGCTGTTGGAACTTTCTGTTTAATACCCTGGTTGCTATCGAAGGTTTATGGATTATTAGACAAAATTAAATCACATGGCTGCTAAAACGCAAAAGCAAAGCAAATGAAGAGTAAGCAAATAAAGAAACCATGTGAGAACAGCGGCCAGACAAAACACCAAAGTTTCAAAATATTTTCCAAATCATCGAAAAATGAAAAGCCATTTGTGCCACCAAGCCTCTGCATGGCTCTGATCAGACAGCTGTTAACAGAGCCTTAAAAAGCCAGAAAATGCTCAGGTGGGAGCCCAGTCTCTGACCACAGGGAGGACGGGCTGCGCAAGAGCAAACCAAGACAGCTTTGCTAACTTAACAGGAGGACAAATATTCACCAAAGCATGCACAATTTATTAAAGGAACATACACTTACGGCGTTATCCCCTAAAATGTCCAACTTTTTCATCAGCTCCGCTACTACTATGTCCTAACAAGAGAGAAATGGAAAACCAGGTGTCAGAACAGAGTGTCTGATTTTATTTAGGGAGAGGAAAATAGGAAATGAGAATCCCTTACTGTTACACCTTCTGCCTCGCAGTAGACTTGGAGAGGGCTCTTCCCCTCTGTAAAAGGACCGTGGTGGAAGTTGATGGCAGGCGACCGTCTCTCTCTCTCCTGAAACGACAACCATGGCTTGGTGACCCACGACCTGTGTCACAGGTCACAGCTTCCCCAAGAGCTGGGCAGCGTGGTCCAGCCAAGGCCGGCGCTAAGCCACGCACTGCACAGCGGTGCTGAGCTGAGGGGCTTTGCTCCGGGAACCCCCCCTGCCCACCCGCGGCCACTCACACCAACAGCCGGGGCAGGGGCCCTTCCTCTGCCAGACCCCGTGCTTTCGTGAGGGCACTCGGGGCTGAGAGGGAGCACCTCCTCCTCCCCACAAAGCAGGGTCGATTTATTCATTAACACTGCAAATATTTTCCCACCGTGATTCTTCATCACTGGGCAGCAGTCACGACCACTTACCTATTACTTTGACTACATAACGTATTTGAACAAAACTATAGACTTATGCCTAGTGTAACATAAATAGCATTTAAATTCTTGTAAGTGGCTGCTTTGTCAATCTCCCTTTGGAGAATTTGGAAAACGGTTTCCAAGAGCTTATAGATTCTGTTTCTACAGGTAACAATACAGAAAAGAGAAGGCTGAGTGGAGTAAACCGAGTGGTCTAGGCCACATGATTCCTTCTCTGCTGGCTTAGCCAGAGGTGAAATGCAGCAGTGATTTCTGGCAATGCAAAAAGAGTTCCTTTTTCTTTCCCACATATGATCTGTTCTGGCTTTATCTCTTTGCATTTTCAGGACAGATGGAGTACAGTAAAATGTGTATCTACATCATGAGCCGATCTTCCAGATCTTACAGTTACCCAAGGAGTGAGAGTGCCAGAACAACCTATCGAGAATACCAGTATTGATCCTTGGGTGCTTGTTTGGGTTTTTTTTTTTCTCTCTTTTTCTAGCACTTTGTACCAAACTCTTTGGTCGTGTTCAGTGCCATGCAGCTCCCCAGGGTGAAGCTCCCAGGGCTGCAGTGCCCCGGGCACGGCTCGCGCCGCCCAGCGCAGGCGGGAGGACCCGGCTGCAACATGTGCTCACTTCAAGCTCCAAGATCCTGAACTCCAGGAGCTCGTTTTGATCCTTAACGTCCTGGACGTCGTGTTTTAAACGAGCTTCCTCCGCTTCCATTTGTTTTATCTGGAACACAAAGGAAGGCGTGTCAGCACCCTCTGTAGATGCCGCCCAGCCCGCCGCACTCCCACCCACCGGGGAGGTTGGGCTCAGCGCCAGCGCCCCGGCCCCAGCCCGGCCCTGGGCCAACACGAGCGGGGGCCGCAGCAGCAGCGCCGGGGGCACGGGGGGCTCCTCCCCACAGCCATGTCCTCACACCGGGACACCCTATGGGGCAAGAGGGAACACCAGGAAACCACTTTTTCTGGCAGGGCTGTAAGGATCTTGTCATTATAAGCCAATAATTTCCAGTAGAGCTTTATGATACAGATGAAAATATTGCACCTTCTGCAGTCCTTAGCCACAAATATTATTGGATAATATGAAAAGAAACGCTGAACACCTTTTCTACCAGTTCTTGATTTCTTCTGTACAATGCTTGCTTCTCCTCAATCCACTTCATGTCCTGGAAAGAGAAAAGACCAATATTGTAGGTGAAGCTGGCAACATTTAGCCCATAGTATCAAATGTTTCGTTAAATCACACATCCAGAGGGACAGAATAATACTGCATATGAAATTGTAATTCCATTATTTCCAAAACTATGAAAGCTCACCCTTTCTGCCTTATTTTAACAGCCTGTGGTATACAAACGGAATAGAAACACTCCAACGATTAAAAAAACACTTTCAGATAAAATATTTGTTTGCATTAAAAGGGATATTTCTAGCTATGCAGTTAATATAAAATTTCAATTATACTGAATACAATACAAGTTACATGTTTCCGAACACTAGGCAAAATAAACCTTATTCTGAAACGAATTTCTTAGTCTGGTGGATATATAAACCACAGAACCCAGAATGCTGTTTATCTGCGAGGTTAACAATAAGATGAGGTTAAGCTGGAAAGGGTAAGGAGTCAATGATTGAGTATTATTATAAAGTTCTCAAAACCAGTTTTCTGTTTCTGGGGTATTCTGGTTTTTTGTTTGTTTGTTTGGGTTTTTTGGCTGAAAAAGTAAGACACAAGCCAGACACAGCCTGGGAAGGTGTCTTGTACTTCCAGCTGGGGGTTGGATATTTGCAGTCCGTGACACTTCATTCTCTGTGCCTGTTTCTTTATCACCTTTGGCTGCCCCTGTGTGAGCTGGTTTTAAACTCTGTCCTCTCCCAATTTAAGGTGCATTTTCCTTTTCAAGTTTTCCTCACTGTGCTACTTTATGCCCGTCCCCGAGCTGCAGCCAGGACAGCCTCGCTCACCCGAGCTGTGTGGTGGGCTCAGGGCGCTGGGCTCGGGCTGCCCCCTGGCCGGGGCGCTCCTGGCCATGGGTGCAGGGTCCTCCCGCCCCGCGGCACCGCGCGGCTGCGCTCAGAGCCACCCGAGCAGGAACTCCCAACACCACCTGGCCTTTTCTGTTTGGGCAACATCACGAGGGAGAATTCTCTGACACTGGCTAGGCAAGGACATAGAAAAATGGCAAATATTTGGACTCAGCACTGCAGGCCAAAGGGATGCAATGGCAGGCAGCAGGCAGGAGTACAGATTGGTCGGGGCCAGGCACCGAATGTCACCCACCAAAGGCTGCAGTGGCACCCAAACCTGCCCAGGGGCTGGCTCTGCAGCGTGCATCTCAAGGTCAGGCCAAGGTCAGACTATGGAGCCAGTCTTGAATAAGCCAGTCATGCGCAGGCAGACACCTTGCAGTGAATTCAGGAATTAAAATTACCAGGTGTGAGCCTTAACACATCAAGGCAAAAATAAGACACCTTAATAATGCCTGATGGCATGAAAACAGCAGAGCTCAATAGGTGTTTGGGTGAATGTGATGAGCTTCATCTCAGTCACTTAGACTAGATTTCCTAGAGTGCAGTTTCATAGATTATTCAATTCTATTTCAAATAAACCCTTTCTGAAAGAACGACTGAGGCGATTTGACAAGCTATGAACAGGCTGCATGGAACTACACAAACAGCTGAACCAGGCACTTCAAACAGCCCTAACACACTAATCTACTCTGAGTTTAAGGAAAGCATTCACAGCATATGTTTTCACGTGGTGAGAACCACTTCAGTTTTGTTGAAAATACACAGCCTGTGTGTGCACGTCCTCCTTCCCTTGAAATGTTTAACCACTTTCTAATTTCACACCTGCTTTTCTCCTTTTCAGAAAGTAAAATCTTGTGGTGCTACAAGGAAAGCTGCTGCCAAGGAAAGATTTCTTGTACATTTGCTAAACAAACATTTCATTGGAAAATAAATACTCTTCCTTTATTTTACCTTCCCAATTTTCTCCTAAGCATCAAAGATACTGGTAGTCTATGAGGTTTTAAAGTAGACCAACTTCTCGCCAAAAGCAATTGTTTTACCATAATACTCTTTCATAATACTTTCTCTTTACCACAATACTATATAAATCTTCAAAGGGATAAGGGAACTGGCCTGTTATTCATGGATTTAATTTTCAGGAGATGCAGAATAAACCAACACAGGGGCAGCGAAGGGCTAGAGGAGGCCTGGCGGGCTGTCAGCTGGGTGCTGACCAGAGCCTGGGCTCTGGGACTCCGGGAACTCATTTCCTCTCCAGCCATGCAGAGAAATTTTTGGTGTGCTTGAGGCCTGGGGCAGCAAGTTCAGGGACTCCTTTCCCAGGCGACTCGTGCTCTCCCTCACCATGAGGCGTCCCGCCCGCTGGAGCAGTTCAGGGGGTGCTGCCTGCAGGGGCCAGCACGGGAGCGCTGAGGGACTCGGGGCGCTGGGCACTGGTGTTGGGTTACTGCTCCAGGTGGATGTGGAGAGGGGGATTTCAAAAGCCCTTGTTTGCTTGACTCTCCTTGCAACCAACTAGACCGCACGTATTAAGGGCTTTCTTTTCAATTAATTAACGTGCTTATTGAATGAGCACTCCACGGGTTCCACTGAAGCCTGAATCAGGGGTGTGGTGGTGATGGAGGCTGTGCGGGGCAGGGATGGCAGCACACGGACAAGGACAGGAATTGCTTCCCTAGCACGTCTGCTTTGTGTGAAGTGAGACAGCTACTGCAAAGTGGCATCGGGGTTATTCTGTGCATACATCAACACCCACCAGCACCTGCAGCACTAGCGGCAACGCGACCAGGCAGGTCTCCAGAGCCCCTCCCACCCCCACACGCAGGGCGAAGCGTTACCTGCCCCTGCTCAGCCAGGGCCTTCTCCAGGTCAGCTATCTGGGCCTGAGCGCGGTGTATTTCTGCTTGGAGCTGCTCACGTGTCTGTGGGACAGGAGGGGAAAAGAAAAAAGCGATAAATCAAACCTCCTCTAAAAGACAAAAGCTAACACAGGTACAGAAAAGACTTAAAACGTCAAATACTTTTAACAAATAATTTAAAAAGTTCTCCAGTAGAATAAATTCACAGCTAAGCACGTAACATTAGTCATTAATCATAAAAAGAAGTCTGTGAGATAGGATAATAATTATGAGACAAGATTAATGTAAACAGCATCCCACGAGGCAGACAGCAGGGCAGCAAACCAGAAAAGGCTTCTTAGAGTCTGCAGTGTGCAGCCTGCCCTCTCCTAGGGCAAGTGTTTAAAAAAGCCAGTGTGAGACCAAGATTCAGTTCTCCAGGAAGGCAAATGAAAATGATTATGCCACAACTCCGAGCACACCTGATTCCTTTAAATGTCTGATGAGTTAAAAATCTCAGAGCAGACCCTACATACGTTACTGGTAAGCTGTTCCTCCTCACATTCACACCCTGTCCACGGTCTTACTGCATCGTGTGTCATCTTTTACTATACTTGTAGCTTTATCCGTATTTAAATATACAGCACCTTCCTACCTGTGTTTTCTGGAGAATAAATGTAATTATTATTAGCTGGTTTATTCATTAAATATAATTTTATGGAACATTTTCTTTCCTCAAACCATTTACCTGCTATTTATCTTGTTATTTACAGTGAAAATGATCTTATTTGCTTGCATGACGTGCAATGTTCTCTCTTTTTGTCTCACTACGACAAAAGTAAAATCCAGTAACCTTTCAAGTTGAGCACGTCTTCTTTAATTACGGTTTTCTTTACAGGGGCAATCCCTAACACTTGGGAGCAGAGCACATGCTCCTGGGGATGTTACTTTTACTGCATTTGGGGCATCCAGAGAGAGATGGTTTGTGGTTCTCAGACAGGGAGGTCGCTGGGAGACAAAGGCTGCTGCTAAATCTGGGTGGCTGAGAGGTACTCGCCAGGGGAGACAGTGGTGAAATCAGCAGTTAACTCTTGGAATTATTCAGTGGAAGAAAACCAGACTAGTTATATAGCTAGGAAAGCCAAAATATTACTGTGAAGATGGAACTGAGCTAGAGGCACCTGGCTGTTCGTTTGTCTGCCTGGGGCCAGGGAGCTGCCGGCGGCCGGGGCAGTCCCAGCTCGGTGGCAGGTGGTGCTGGTCCCACCAGAGGCACCACTGATGTGGCACTGGGTGATGTGGGGGTGTCCCAGCACCCTCACCCTCTCCTCCAACGACTGAGTGTTCCTGGATAACACGTCCACACAGCAGCACAGAGACAAATGAAGACTTTGCAGTTACATTTCTCCTACTCGACTTCAAACTGTTAGCCCAGAACAGAATTTGTCCCTTTATTTACTGGATTCAGCCCTGCATTATGTGCGTGAGAAGTCCTGCCAACTCCTTGTAATATACAGCATACTTGTAATAAACGTCACATTTTGTGCCAGATGTTTGAAGCCACATGGGCTGTGTGAGGCAGCAGGCAGGTAGAATAGCATAGGACACTTTGGAATTTAGTTAAGAAAAAGAATCTCAGCTATAAGATTTCTCAACATTTTATGAGGAATCATATCATCTCACAGAACCCAGCAGGAATTAAATACCAGGTATAACATATTTAGGGCAATCTGTCCTAAATTTTTATAGAAGAGCTTCATTGTAAGAATTTCCTATGAAAATTATCTCGGAATTTCTCTTGAAGTGCTCAGAGGTGAGAAGACCAAGCCGTGGTGATGGTGGTTCCTGCCGCCCAGCAGCACTGCAGGGGGGATGCTGGATGGGCTGGTGGAGGCAGAGACCCCAGAGCCCAGCCGACTCCCGGCCCCGCACCCCTCCCTGCCTGACCCCAGTTTAGCTTGAAAACAACCTGAGCAAGTGAACTGGAAACCCCCACACAATTACAATCCCTATTTTCATGTAATATAAGCCATTTAGACCTTAACTTCTCGTTCTGCATCCAATGTTCCTCCGACCTGTTCTTGCAATAGGGCGTATGCTCGTTGCAGAGCCTGGTACTCCATGGTCAGCTGCCGAAACCGCAGTTCTGTCTCCTCCTTGGCCATGCCCTGGAATGAAAAACAAAGATGTGTTGCACCAGTTGCTTTTGTTCCTGCAATAAAAATAACAACAACAACAAAAAGTGGGCTTTCTCTAAAAAATGCAAAAATTATTACTTTCAAAATGCAGTTGAGAAGCACGGTACTAAAGATCTTGTTCACGTGCTCTCAGACTGTTTCTTCTGTCCCTTAAACATCTCTTGCTTACATCTGCTTCAACAAAATGCAATACAGAAAAAAAAGAGAATTCCCCTTGCCTTGGAAAGATAAAACCTTGCCATCCATATAACAGAGTAATGAGAGAATTGCCCTTTATTATTGCACCAGGCAAAGTCATCACATTTAAAGGTGGAAACACTGCTTTCTTGAAACAACAAAAGACTTCCAATCTGGAGAATAAGCCAAGCCTGACAGTCTCACTCAATTATTAAAACACAAATCCAGAGTTAATACTTGTAGAAATGGTAACATCAACATGAAAAGAGCCCTTCATCTTCTTCACTCTCCTTACAACATCCAGCACTGAAGGCTTTCATGTCAGGTTGACCGGAATATTTCATTCGACATGAAATGAAATTATACTGCTGGTTGCATGCATAAACTGTGCACTATCTGAACAGGGAAAAAAATGTCAGTACAAGAATGAAAAATAAATAGGCTCATACATATAAAAATACTTTCAGATTCCCTGTGGTGCAACACACACCTGGCAACTGGTTGTGTATCTTTTATGGTGGAGACAGGGGTTCTGTAGGTTCCCTTTTAACAGATGTAATTACAACCCCTGGAATGGGTGAAATGGCAGGTGAAAAGTTGCAGGCAGCACCAGAAACAGGCTGCAAGTCCTGACTAGGAAATTTTTGTTTATTACAAGGTTCTTGTGAAACCCAGAAACACGTAACGGTGCAGTGATGTGACACCCTCTCAGGAATGCATTTGTAGGGAATTCCCTGCAAAATACCAGGGATAATCACTTTTATTTGTATCATCAGCTACTTCTGCGTGCTCTGCATTCAGAGCCTCCAGAAAAGCCACGACCTCAATATACTGGCGAGGAGACAGCCTCTTCTCTGGAGACTGGGGCTTTATGTGCCTGCTGCCTCTGCTTCCAGACACACAAACCTCACCGCTCGCGGCTGCGCCCTGTGCCGAGGTCAAAGTGACAAACAGAGGGACCTGAACTAACCTCCATGTGCACAGACCTGCAGTAACTCGCAGTGTGAACAGGTCTTCCTGGGGTCATCCACCTTCTCAGTCTCTTTAGACCTCCAGCCTATGAACCCATTATAAATCTGATATCCTTAGGATTTAATATTTCCAGCTTGGCTAGAAGTTGTCAAATTACTGAAGACTCGAGATCCAGAGATATCAACCAACATGCACGGGATGAAATTTAACGTCAATTTTAAATTTTCTAGTCAGAGATGACAGATGAATGATAGAACAAACCAGGAATTTTGTTAAGAATTAGCATCAAGGTTTCAAAACAGAGTAAGACATAGCTTTTGATGAATACCTCTTCCAAGTCATCTTCAGGAGTGCAAGGGGTTTGATCTGTCCGGTCAGTTTGGTATGAGATAGAGGACCCGTCAGACTCCAAGGAAGCTTCTTCATCGTAGCCAAAAAACGTCTCCACCACCGGCTTCTGGCAGAGAGAAGGGGTGAGCGGCGCGGCCGTGCCCCACGGCCTGGGGACAGCGGCGCCCTCGGCCCGAGCTCAGCTCTGCACCCTTCCAGCGTGCACATGCTCACCCCGGGGAGCCGCGGGCCGGCTGCTGGGACCCCGCTGCTGCTCTGGCAAAAACTGCTCCTGCTCTTTACAGTGTCTACACATGAAGTGTTCTCGCCCCGTGACAGTGCTCTGACAGCTGAAACTTACTGCAAGCCCTGCGCTGCCCTGTTTGCTGTTGGGTGTCACAGTGTGCACCTCAGAGCCCCTGCCCCTTTTCCATGCATTTCCCCCCAATTTCTCGAGCCAGCAGGGCCCACTTTTTGCTGCCTTGTGTGTTTGCTGCCACAGCGAGAGGTGGGAGTTGTGCATCGAAATGTCTTTCTTATTCCCTTGTCATCACAACGTCCCCCCTGTCACTACAGCAACTCGCACACGGAAGGTTAAGATTTGCAAGAAATGTTCTAGTTGACAATTTGAAGTTATGCACCACAGCGATGTTTTTACAGTTTGAAGAAATCAATTTTTGCACTCAAAGCTGCTTTCTGTTTATAAGAGTGAGGGTAGTGAGGGTAAAGAAAGATTTACTCAAAAGTTTGAAAGTCAAAGAAGATATTTCAAACACAGTTCTAAAGTATTTTTAACTGTTGATTTGCAAAGACATTTATAGATTTTGGCTTTTTGTTTTAATTTGCCGTGGATAACTTTTGAAGGAGACAAAACCTAACTCTCTTTGAAAGGCTTGGTTCCCATTTGCATGAGGACGGGAGTCAAGGAGTTCTCTCACATCCACAGCAATTCCTCACTTATAGATTCATTAGCTCTGGCGCCACTTTAAGTCGTCACACGTCGAACACAGCCCGCTCTCAGGTCCCTGACATTTACCTTACGATGTTGTTACAGCACTAATATTTATATTAACATCCTGCCAAGCATTCATTAACTAACATTTCCTTTTTCCCTGAGCTCTAACCGTTGCTTCTTGTAACCAGCAATTTTTGCATGTTACTAAACGCCATAATGAATTATTTACAACCTACATATGTTTCCAGGCAGTGCCATTAAAAGATCATTTTGAGATGTGTTAATTCATGAAATCTGTCTCATCTTAAAACAATCACACGCCACCAAAGTCCCAGGGGATCACTCAGGGTACATGCAGAGTGTGCAGACGGTTCCCCCACCCCTACCAGATCTTGTCTGAACACCCCGACACAGGCTACGAACGTCCCTGCTGCACAACCCAAATTTAAGATCAGGACCCGTCTGCAGACCCTGGAGGAGAACGTTCCCCCGCGTGGCTCTGAGGCACACGGAGCACCCCGGGAAGCAGCATCCCCATCAGCATGTCAGGACACGAGCTTTTTTTTTTTTTACCTTAGGAATTCTTGTCATTTTTTTCCTTTGCTTCCTATACCTTAACAGCTTATCCCGTTCCTGAAAGAATCAGATACACACGTTAGCTGTTTTCAGAGAGCTGTTATTTAAATTAACTATGTCAGTACTAGCAGTCATTGGGGAATCAAGAAATAGTAACATCAATGCTGGCCACTGCCTCAAAATGAAACAGCCATGCCTTCATCAGACTGAAAAATATGCAATTCCAGAGATGGGGGACACTCGCTGTTGGTCATCAGGACAGAGTGACCATGCTGCCTTCTGCCTCTGGGGTCATCCTAGTGGTGACAAAAAAAATCTTTCCCCTCTCACCCGAGCTTCCCTCTCCACTAGCACTAGATGTTTCTCTGGTGAACAACTGCAGTAATGGCCTCTGACAACATCTATGCTTAGAGAAACACTCTGTTAGCTTGGTGCCTGAATGGAGCTGTAAGTGACAATAAACACTATTACACCCTGCGTGCTTTTCACAAACAGCAATTTAAAGCATACGAAGATGAGGATGAAGTTAACGTCACTCTTACCATGACACTCTTCACATAGCCAGCAGTTTCCAGTGTCTAATGAAGAAGAGTGAAATAATGTCAGTAAGAGTGCAGACTTAAAGAAACAAACAACAACAAAATGCAAAAAAAGGTATTTTCTGGAGTATGATGATTTCAGTATTTTCTGCTTCCATATTTTTGTTTCTATTAACCAAGAAGCAAAAGCTCAAACCCAACGTTGGAGAAGACCCTCCCTGTACTCAGCAATCTCTAGCCCTGGTGCTGTCTCCAGCTCGAGGAGCTCTGACATTTCCTCTGGCAGGGGCAGGATCCAGCCACCACCGTATCCACTGGACATGCTGCAGTGGTTCTGTCATGCGAGTGCAGTGTAGATCGAAGGATTTTCCCAAATACTCTTGCACAGATCACTTACATTCAGTACAATTTCTAGCAATCACAGAAACGCTCCCCCGTCCCACTGACGCCTGCTGTGCCCTGAGCTCACAGAACCCTGAGCACCCCTTGTTTCACCCTCCTGCTATGGCCTTAGTCGACCCTGCATGAGAGCAGCAGAATTGTATCTCACCTTGGAGAGTTCATCAATGATATTTTGCTGTTCAATAACTTGTAGTCTCAGGAAATCAACTTCTCTTTCTTCCTGGCTGTGGTCAAGGTCATTTAAAGAGCTCGGTCTCCTGATGGTTCCAGCTCTCTGCCTCTGAAAGAAACCCCCAGGGCAGAAGAGGAGCCATCAGGCTTTGCCCAAGGTCAGTCAGTACCCGACCCTTCCTGCATCCCCTCTAACAGCCCTTCTGGCAGCTAGCCTGCTTCGCTTTTGCTGAGCCAGACTGCAAACACGCCGCTGTTCCTGCTCCTCAGGCTGCTGCGGGAAGCTGGGGTCACCAGGGAGGGCAGTGTCACGGGGGGCCACCACCCCAAAGACGGGGGCCAGCAGCTGCTCAGCTGCACCTCCTCTTTGGTTCTGCCCAGAGCTGTGCAGCTTTCCCTGCACCATAACGAATTCAGAGAGCTGGGGCCACCACCACTTCTCTGCGGGATGCTCTCAGCCTTTCCAACCTGTGGGGAGGAGCTCAGCCCTGCTGCACTCATGCAGTCCCACGGCTACGTGTTGCCAGCTAGTGCCTACTAGCGATATTCCACGGGGAAAAAAGGGAAGTGCATATTTCTGAGGGATTACGAGGTGTTTCTGGTGCAAAAGTCCAAGGTGAAGTGGGGTGATCTGTGCTCAGGTCGAAGCTGAGCAGCTGGTGATTGAACAGTCTCCCAGTCAAAGCTCACCACCTCTTTTCATAGAATCACAAAATCATCTCACTTGGAAAAGACCTTGAAGACCATCTAGTCCAACCATTAACCTCACACTGACTGTTCTCAACTTTTCTTCAGAACTATTTGCTTTTAAAGCTAAACCGAAAGATTCTGTGTAAAACAAAACATGTTCTAGCCACATCTCAGTGAGCACTGGAAAGGGGAAAGATTCCTGTTAAAGTTGCAAGTCTGGGACAATGCCTGACTCCGCCAGCCCTGTAAGCACTAAAGGACACGTTCTCTCTGGAGCATACAGTCACTTACCATCGCTATATTTTCTTGCGTTACAAATTTCAATTTATTTTCCATCCGACGTAAGGCATGTGACAATTCTTCATTCTTCCTACTAAGGCGTTTATTTTTGTCCAAAATGGGCTTATACTGACTTTCAGCTTCTCTAAGACGTTTTAACTGAAAGATTAAGAGAGAACAAACACCTTTGGAGTTGTTATTTTTCCTCAAATATATGAATAATTTTAACTATGACACTATCAATATTTTCTCCTAATACAAAGCAGAATCTATCAAAACCTGGGTATTTTCCATGGGGAAGCAGACCGTTCCTCCTTCATGAGGCATTCAATCTGTGCAACAAGTGTACCGCGTGGGGGATGTTTGTATTTTTCAAAATAGATAAAAATAATTCCAGTTAATGCCACCTGAAAAATTCAGAGATGAATGCGATGTGGCATAGCACCAAATACAGCGCGTAAGGAGGAGCCAGATACTCCTGCAACGATTTCTGACTGGCACAGGAGAAGGTATCTGGGAATTCTGGGGGCGAGGCACTGCCAGGACAGCGCGCCCACGAGCAGCCACCACCGCGCCTCGCCGCCGCCCTCACCAGCTCGTTTCTCTCCTCCGACAGCAGCGCGTTCCGGTCCTCCAGCTTCCTGATGATGGCACTCAGCTCAGCGATTTTCAGTTGGAAACGCCGCGCATCCTTTTCATCCAACTGCTGTTCCTAAAACAAAGATCAACTGCAAATAACTGTTCATAAGTCTACAGGCAATATCAATATTTTTCAAAGCTCAAACTTTTTCTTATCCCAAATCCAACCACTTCAAAACATTACAGGGCAGAGTGTAACCTACATAACCTAACTGACCCCTGAAAGCTGCAGGATGAGACCAACGGAAAGTCGGGAGTGAAAATGTAACAAAGTATGCAAATGCAGAAGTATGTATATGCAAATACAAAGTCACAGATGGTAAACTTGGAAATAGAAAAGAAAATATCAAAAATTAAGGCAATGTTTCCAATGTATGCCACTGTTGAACTGAGTGCTTCAGACACATCACCCACTCTGAGGCCTTTGTTATAAGAAAATGGTATTAAAAATACTGAAGTCCAACTGGGGAAAATCCATGCAATCACACCATTGCATAAGCTCTTCTTCTGTGGCCCTTATTGGGTTCTACAGGGTCACTCGTAAAGCCAAGGGGTAACACTTTATCCGAGTGAAAATGCTTAAATCAAATTATAAACGAATAGAAATATAGGTAGATGTGTTCTTATTCAGAATCAGAGAGAAGTTACATCCATTTAGAAATGTTTTCCCCTTCTCTAGGACTTGTTCTGATGTTTGGCAGAAGTGAAATACAAATCGAAACAAGCGAATTAGTATCCGTAGTGCTGGTGGCACTTCTGGGAGGTCTAGGGTTCCTCATTCAACAGGTGCAGGAGAGGCTTGGGGCAAAGAATAAAATCGATTGGTTTGCTCATGTATCAGTATTTACACTTCTATTGAGGAAATTAAGGCTGTTGCAAAAGAAATCTTGATGAGAAGTGGCAATGAAGAAGATCTGCACACGTCAGATACCTGAGGTCAGTTAACTGAGGGGGTTTTAATATGAGCAAATCAAGGCAAAAGCAGAAAGGTGCCAGAGTTACATTAAAAAAAAGCCATTGTGAAAGGGTGATTAAAATTTAACGTTCTGGATAGTGCATTGTAGAAAAGACAGAGAACAGGTCAGCGGGTGTTTAATTGACTTTCTGGTGCACTGAAAGCGAGAGCACTTAGCAGCACAGAACCCGAGCTAGCAGCGTTGCTCCAGGAGGGCGGCGGGATTTCCCCCGTTACCTTCTCCGTTTCCCTCTGCAAAGTGGCCTTGTCCATCTGCTCACAAAACACGTTGTTAGCAGTTCCTAAAGCTAGCACACATACATTACTTGGTCAGAAATGCATTTGCATCATTTGTTGGCAAAACCGTGTCAAACTGTCAAATTAAGGAGGTGGCAGAAGTATGGAACAGTGAGGAAAAGGAAGAGAAAAAGAACAGAAAAATTTCACCCTGCTAACGAAACCAAACCAAACAAACCAGAAAACAAAACGACAAAAAAGCAAAAGCTCTCCCATAACGAGGTTTGATTTTGAGCCTTAAAGGTTTGTCTAACGAATGAGAGCAAGAAATCGGTGCCTCGGGGTTCCCCCTGCACGGCTATGGGAAAGCTGTTGCTCGCGGGTGCCCTCATCAAGATTCTGTCACTTGGTGCCTTTTGGTCACTCTGCTCGTTCGTTTAGGTGAAACCACGTGAAAGTGCTTACGGGGCTTCCCGAATGATCTGAAGCGTCTCCTGCACCACTTGCATAAGGAAGTTCCCGCTTGGGGCTGCTCAGATGCCGATCAGACTCTTTGATCTGGGAAAGTTGTTCATCTAAAGCCTCCTTTTGGAGCTGCAGTCTCTGAGCATGCCCGGCTTGAACCCCTAACTCTCTCTCCAGCACGTAGACTGCTCTGTCTTTAAACTTAATCTCCTCCATCTACAAGGAGAACAGAACACAATCACACAGGCAGGCAGCGGCTCGACAACAACAGCATCTTACGCCCCAAACGCGGCCAGAGAACAGTCGCACAGCGCCGACACCCTCCACACGGAAAGTACAGCAGCGCCTCTTGGAGATAGAACACAACAAGGATTTGACAGTGAACACACGAACTGAGTCACTTTACCAGCCCAGGAATGTTCCTCTTCCCCTGGGGGCCACCCAGAAGAAAACCTTTTTTCAACAGGAATTTTTGTAATTAGAGTGATTGGGAAATAGCCCATATTTTTAGTACTATTTCTTAACAAATATATAAAATCTAATATTCATATCACAATTCGGATGAGTTCACTCAAACTTTTTAATGATTTTGCAGCATTTTGCTTGGACATCATCTTTTGAAAATTTGGATTCATAATTTTAAATGAAAAATATTAAAACCTTTTACTTTTCAGAATATAAAAGGAATATTCATTTTAAAAATTATTTTTCCAAGTCTCCCATGTGAGCAATTTGTTTAATTATCACCCTTTCCATGACAAGTTTTGCTTATGCATAATAAATATTATGCAAAATCATTAAGTGCTTAAATGACAAATGCCCAGCTGTCTCCAATTCTCTTCCTTCCTATTTTTCTGTGCTGTTCCCGCTGAGGTTAGAGAGCTCATCTCTGTGGGGTCAGGCACATTAAATTTGCAGGTGCTCCAGGAATATTTTCTGTATTTTTTTTCTGAATGCTCATGTGGAATTAAGGCCTCCCGAGCCGTGGAGCCGCGCCCCATCCACCCATGCGGAGTGCTGGGGGCCAGAGGGGTGGCTCACGCTGCGGGCTGGGGGCTCATGCTGGGATCAGAGCCTTGGAGTGTGTTTAGGGTTCAAACGAGGATGGCCTGTGCCCTGCCTAATCACCAAAAATCACTGCGCACAGCCCGGAACCTGCTTCTGTGCCTGGGTGATGTACAGCACCACAACAGAATCACAGGCTCTTCCCAGCTGGGTTGCACGCTTATACATTATACAGGAATATAAAGTATTAATTACACTCACACGCCACAGGGCTGCCAAATGTGCTTACAGATAATGACAAGAAAGAAATCAGATACATCCCCTAAAATGGCTGTTGATCTGGTTTCAGACACCATATAGGTTTTTGAGACTTTACACTTTTCACTTAAGTGATCAGTTTTTAAAAGGTGACCTGCTTGAAATAAGAACATTTTGCCTTGTGAAAACAGCTTTTGATACTTTTGTCTTTGACACCTTTTTCTGTAAACCTGGAAAAAAATGACATTGTGAATTAACAGATCAAAGTACATTGTTTCCAGTAACTTCAAAAATGGCCCACCCAGGGAAAAAGCCAGCACGGCAGCTCACACATGCCCAGCGATGGCCCTGGGAAATGACTTCCACGAGGTGCCTCTGGGTGGAGGGGGTGGGTACAGCTTCCAGCTGTGACATAAATCATGTGGGAGAGGACACGGTGGGTTGGGGCACCATGTCCCTCCACTGCACTGCGTGGCGGCGGCGTCGGGACCCAGGCCAGGTGAGGTGCACCGTCACCTCATCGTCACCACCCCATGACCAGCACCCCATCGCCCTCGCACGTGGTTCCAGCCCCAGCTGTAGGTGAGAGCCAGCGTGGCCGGAGGGAGGATGCGGCCGCCCCGAGCTACAGACCCAGGGAGATCCCCCACCATCCCCGGGGAAGAGCCAGCCCTTGCCAGAAGACAACAGAGGGCAACTCACAAATACCTGCGTGGAAACTGTGTTTCAAGGTTAAGCAAAATTTAGATTCTTTTAGTAAAATGGAGCAAATCAAATGTACTTTGGGTGACATTTTACTAAAGGCACTTTCAACAATTTGCATTAAGGCAACAGTCCAGTAACTCTGAGAAACAGAGATGCCCACTGAAGTCCTTCTGCTAAATAACTAATCAGGTAGCATCTAAATGGATGTATAAATGAAAGGTATGATTATTAAAATGATTATTTGTTTAAAATATCAGAATATTGGGTAGTTGATCCCTATTTGTATGAAAACAAAGACATGGAATAACACAGACAACATTTTAAATGAGGAGGGACAAAGAAACTGAAGAAAACACAAAATATTTCACAGTATTTCACTAATGTTTTGTTTTCCAGAAAACAACCTAAACATAACATCTTCATAAACAACAAAGGAATCATCGCTATTCACATTTCCCCTCATATGATTAAATTCATGTTCATGAAAGATGCGTAACAGCCTGATGGCTGCAGCCCATTGTTAACCAGCAGCGCTGCAGGAACAGCACAAACCCAGGGAAGCATTTCACTGAAAAATATTATTGAGCACATTTCTCCCTAGCGCTAGCGACATTTGGAAAACGTAAAAACAAGAAAGAACTTGCAACTCACTGGAGGAGGTGCTGGTCCCCAGGCACACCCCCGCAAGTGGTCGCACACCCCGGCCTCATTCTGCGGAGGGCGCGGGGCCGGCGGGTCCGAGGGCTCCCGACCCCGGCAGCGCGGGGCAGCGCCGCGGCCAACCGCCTGAGAGGGGCCCTGGGTGTTCCCCCCGTCCTCCGGCAGGCTGCCTCCACTCGGGATGAATATTTATGTGGGAGCGCTAATTAATAACCAGCCCATGAGCACAGCTGATGCCAATCACGCCAACAGAATCCCATGCAAAGTTGAATTTGCTATTCCCGCCCCGCGCAACGCCTGTCACGGTCTGACACGCAGCTGGTTTGAAGCCATGTGATTCTCTTCAAATGGATAATTTCCATCCTGACGGTAAAATCCACACGTAGGTTCCCTGGTTGGGAAATTTCTCCTTGGGATGTTCCTGGGGACTCCTCAGTGAGTGGGTTCAGTTTTGGGCCCCTCACCCCAAAAAGGCCATTGAGTGACTCGAGCGTGGCCAGAGAAGGGCAACGGAGCTGGGGCAGGG